TTCAGAAGTTCCCAGAAATATACAATATTCAGCATCATACAACGGATTATTTAATTCCATGTCCTTGAATAAAAGAGGAAGACCAACAGCTACAGAAGAAAAATTTCCTACACTTACTCAAAAATATAATCATCCCCTTAGTATTCATTCAGAAAAACTGAAAGATGTAAAATCATTCTTGGAATGGATTCCAGCTGTTTATCACGAATGGTATATAAATTTAAAATAACCTCCTAGTACCTACCAAATTATGTTATGTTAAGTCAACACCACTTAACATGTTACGTTAAATTTTTCAAATATTTTAGGTAAATAATGTTAAGTTGTAGTACATATTTTCATATTTTCCTCAATAAACATTGTAAAAAAAATATTTGGTATTTCATATTTTGCCTCCTGATTAACAACATAATCAGCTAATTTTAGCATTATTCATAGTTTTATATTTTTTAATAAAAAATATAACAATATTTTTTTTTAAATTCAACACTTCAAAACTCAAATCTTCTTTATTGTCCCTTACCATTTTTTACTGCCGGACCCCTCAAATATTCTAACGTTCGCCTCTGGTTGATTGTCAAAAAAGTTGACGTTGACCTAAAAACAATTAGAGAATTGAAAAACGTCAACTTTTTGACAAGTAACCAGAGGCGGAGGTTTTAATATTTATCAATTAAATGCGAAACTACAATTTTAGTATTTATTTAATTTATTTATCAAAATTAGCTTAAACTCAAATAAACTTATTATGACTGAATAGGTATTTTTAATACCTTTCAAACGAGGTATCACTTGCCATAAGGTCCCACTTAAAATTATCTGTCACAGTGGCGTTGTAACGCCATCTGTCACTATTACGTCACCTGTTATGACTAGATGAGAAGCTTACGTCTGTTTATTACTTCCCTCCAAATGTCACTATTATAACAATAACCGTTCAAAAGATACGAACGGGGGAACGGACTTTTGAATAGCACTGTATAGACCGATCATTGAAAACAATATTTTGCCAGAATCCAAAAATATTAAATCAAGGATACAAATTTGGGAATAAGTAGTTGAAAGTATTTATTATTATAAAAAAAAAATTTACAATCCATTTGGCTATTTTGCAAAAAGGGTTGACTTCTCATATATTGGGCACGTTTTCAAAAACGATAGAAAACGAGAGAAAACTGTTATCATGGCATCACCTTAAAAATTTGTCAAAACAATTTCTTTATAATTTAAGTAGTTTCTAAGATATAGCCCTTTTTGTAACTGCTTATTTGTGTTGAAATTCCACGAGAAACTAAGTTCCTGTAGCTGGCTGTATACCATATATCACAAAAAATTGTTTAAAATCCTTTATAAAAGGTATATAAAAATGCCCCAAACGGGCTATCACAAACACATTGCAAAACGTTTTCGGATTAATCAATCCATCATCAGTGCAAAACGGTTGTACATGCTAGTAGCCACCAAAATTATATGGTCAAAACCCTTTAAATGTTTTAAATCTGTAGTTGTTTTACATTATTAGTAGTTATAATTTACTTACGCCATGTTACCTATACAACACAAATTATAACTACTAATAATGTAAAACAACTACAAATTTAAAACATTTAAAGGGTTTTGACCCATATATTTTGGTGGCTACTAGCATGTACAACAGATCAGCTGATCATGGATATCGGATACCAAGATCCGGCAGAGAAAGAGAAATAGATAAGTACAAGGCTTTCTCGGTCGTAAACCAGCGAAACCCTTGTAAAAAGAAAAAGACAACCATAAAAATTGCTACATGGAATGTAAGGAGCTTATTCTCTTCGGGAAAATTAGATAACGTCGTGTTGGAAATGGATCGTTTGGATATAGACATATTAGGCACGAGCGATACACAATGGCCAGGAAACGGCAAATGTCCCACAAATAATCATGGTATGTTTTATTATGCCGGAAGTGACACCAAAACCCATCGATACGGAGTAGGAGTCATACATCTCAAAAAAATGGAAAGATGCTGTAGTAAACTTTACTCCATTCTCAGAGCGCGTGATGTTAATACAATTAAAAGATAAGAAGAACATGATAAACATCATACAAGTGTACGCTCCTACAGCAGACAAAGACGAAGAGGAAATAGAACAATTCTATAATATCTTAGAAGAGGTGATGAGAACAATAAAGAGACAACACATTAACATAGTAATGGGCGATCTGAACGCCAAGGTAGGTCAGGGTAAAGTTGGAGAAAATGTCGGTGAATATGGCATAGGTAATAGAAATGAAAGGGGTGATCGTTTAGTTCAGTTTTGTCAAAGCGAAGATTTAATAATAACTAATACATTCTTTAAACTACCCCCAAGGCGACTATATACGTGGACGTCACCTCAACATACACAAGAAAAAGTGGTCAGAAACCAAATAGATTACATATTGGTGACAAAAAGATACCGTAATGCCGTAAAATCTACTAAAACTTTCCCTGGAGCTGATATCGGTTCGGATCATAATCCAGTAGTATCTGTGATAGAAGCTAGACCAAAGAAAATAAGAAAAGCCATCATTCCAGCATTAGACTTAAGCCAGCTTAAAAATGAACATCTACGACAAACAGTGCGAGAAGAAATAAACACCAGCCTCAGTGTAGCAGAAAGCCAAATCCGCAGAACAGACAACATAGATGAAAAACTTAAGTATATAAATACTATAATAAGAACTACGGGAAAGAAACACCTAACCAAATCTGCAAAGAAACATAAGGTGTGGATGACACCAGACATTCTAGAACTAATGGATGAAAGACGTAAAATGAAGAATAATGCAGAAAAATACAAAGAGGTTGATAAGAACATAAAGCAAAGAATAAGAAATGCCAAAGAATCATGGATTACAGAACAATGTGTAGACATGGAAAACTATGAAAGAAAGTACGACACGTTCAATATACATAAAAAAGTAAGAGAAATTACAGGAACCCAAAGAAACGTCAAATAAGTTTGCTTAAGAACAAAGATGGAAAGATTATTATAGATTTAACAGAGAAAATTAATAGATAGAGTGAATACATAAGAGAATTATTTGAGGACAACAGAAATAACATTGTTCTGATATATGGCGAAACGGGACCTGAAATTCTAAAATGTGAAGTAGAAATGGCACTTAAAAATTCCAAAACTGGGAAGGCAAATGGACCGGATGAGGTTCCTACCGAATTGCTAAAGCTCTTGAATGATGAATCAATAGGTATAATATTGCACTTATTTAATACAATATACAATACTGGCATTATACCTCAAGAGTGGCTGTTGTCTACATTCGTTACACTGCCAAAGAAATCTAATGCTAAAGAATGTTCAGAACATCGAACAATATCTTTAATGAGCCACCTACTAAAGATATTTCTAAAAATCATCCACAACCGAGTTTATCAAAAGTTGGAGTCAGATATTAGTAATACACAGATGGGGTTCAGAAAAGGGCTTGGTGCTCGAGAAGCTCTCTTCGGTTTGAATGTTCTCACACAAAGATGTCTAGACGTTAATCAGGAGGTACATACGTGTTTTATCGATTTTGAAAAAGCGTTTGACAGAGTACGCCATGATAAGCTTAGAGAGATTCTTGAAAGGAAGGACATAGATAATAAAGATCTGCGAATAATTCTCAATCTATATTGAATCAGAAAGCTAACATCAAAATAGAAACTGAAACATCACAAGCAATAGAAATACGTAGAGGAGTACGACAGGGTTGCATTTTGTCACCTCTGTTATTTAATGTATATAGTGAAAGCATCTGTCAGGAAGCCCTTTTACAAGCAAACGGAGGAATCGTAATTAATGGAGAGATTGTAAATAATATTCGATACGCGGACGACACTGTACTAGTTGCAAGAACAGTAGAAGAATTACAAAGATTACTTACAGACATAAATATTGCTTGCAACAATTATGGTATAAATATCAATTTAAAAAACCAAGTATATGGTCTTCAGTAAAAACATGACACAACCAGCGTATATTAGTATAAACGGCACTCAAGTTGAAAAAGTATCAAGTTACAAATACTTGGGAACTTTAATAAACGAAACTGGAGACCAAAACAGTGAAATAAAAAGACGTATCGAAATTGCCAGGGCCACCTTCATAAAGATGAGAAAATTCTTCTGCAACAGAAATATAAGCATCCCTCTACGATTAAGAATGCTGAGAGGCTATGTATTTAACACGCTATTATACGGTGTAGAGGCCTGGACTCTCAAACAGAACAACATGAAAAATATTGAAAGTTTCGAGATGTGGTGCTACCGTCGAATGCTGAAGATTAGTTGGGTTGAAAGAATAACAAACTGTGAAGTAATACGAAGAATAGGAAAAGACCCAGAGATTTTGTTAACGCTAAAGCGAAGAAAACTCGAATATTTTGGTCACCTGATGAGAGGACATAAATACGCATTACTTCAAAATATAATGCAGGGAAAAATAGAAGGAAAACGGAATCCAGGCCGTAGAAGAATGTCATGGTTGCGGAATTTGAGAGAGTGGTTTGGCTGCACCACTAATGAACTCTTTAGGTCAGCCGTAAACAAGGTCAGAATAGCCTTGATGATTTCCAATCTCCGATAGGAGTGGCACAAAAAGAAGAAGAAGCATGTACAACCGTTTGCACTGATGATGGATTGATTAATCCGAAAACGTTTTGCAATGTGTTTGTGATAGCCCGTTTGAGGCATTTTTATATACCTTTTATAAGGATTTTAAACAATTTTTTATTTGTGTTGCTTGTTGGATGTGCGCGCACATAAAAATCACACATTTTTGAATTAATTAATCCAATAAATATAACAATACTTTTGCGATATATTATATTGGTTTTTTACTTTTTTAAGAAACTATTAATTTATTTAAATGTATATATCAATAAACTTGTCACACTTGAAGGAGCACATAAAAATCACAGCGGTATTTTGAATATTCATATACTATCTTATCGACAGCATTTTCTGTTTGTTTTAGTTCAAATAACCAAATTAACGAACGTAATCCGCTCATCTCCTAGTTGTGAGTCGTCTTTCATGGCAACAAGATGGTAGAAACGAAATTACCCGAAACAAAAGGTCAACAAAACAATGTTGGTGAGTATCTTTGTAGGTAGCAGTACGATATACATATATTAAATTAATTGTGAGTACATATTAAAATTTTATAATGTACAGCATATAAAAACTATATCAAATTAAGGTTGGATGAGCTTATAAATCTGAAAAAAGTAAAGCTGGAACAAACATATTCATCGTATTTTTATAAGTATTCCCGTATTTTTATTAGGAGCATATTCAAACTTTTTTCTTCTACTTAAAGTGCCGTGTAGATATAGGGAAACCATATCATTAAAGAATATTGTTTCGCTAGGAGGACGCCTACAATATAAAGCTATCTTTCCTCCTCACTTTCTTATGATCAATGTCTAAATTTGTAGCCAAAATATTTAAGATTACATTTTTTAAGAAGTTTTAATAAGTTTTTTTTTTAATTCTTTATTTATTACGACTCGACAACATCGATTCGTGTTCTGTCCATACATGATGTTCTAAGCATTCTGCGAAAACAGTGTATCTAAAGTGCCTTCTTTTCTTCTTTCAGTACTCTGTCCGATTATCGAACGTTTGCGATCATATTGGGAATAATAACTTTGTTTACGGCGGCTCTAAATTAATTAGGGGTGGTCTCTTGATACCATTCTCGGAGATTTCGGAGCCAGGATGTTCTTCGTAGGCCTGGGCCTCTCCTTCAGGCGATCTTACCCTGTATTATGAGGTGTAGAAGGTTATACCTCTCTGGATGTCTCATTACATGACCGAAATATTGTAACTTTCGAATTTTTATCATTGTTGTTATTTCTGTGCTCTTTTCATTCGATGTAAAACTATTTAATTTCTTATTCGATCAACCCAACTTATCCGCAATACTCGTCGATAAATCCACATCTCAAAGGCCTCTAATTTTTTCTCCATACCATACAGCAATGTGGAGAATAAGTAGCAGCGTATTAATCTGATTTTAAGGTTTAACGTAATATCTCTATTAATTAGAATTTTCTTTAATTTATAGAAGGCGGCTCTGGCTTTTTCAATGCGTATTCTTATCTCTTATATTACCGACACGGTACTTATTGGAGGCAATAAGTACCGTGTCGTCTACATATCTGTGATTGTTGACATTAATTCCGTTGATTTTAATGCCTGTATCTTCAACTAAGACTTGTTTGAAAATGAATTCGGAGTAGATATTCGGAACAATTACGTGCGCCATTACTAAATTTATCCAAACTCGTAAAAAATAACACAACCGATACTATAGAAATAATCGCAATTTTTAAAGTTACTGTAAAACATAGGAATGTGGGTCTATTGTATTTTAATGCTTTCTGTGGGGCTATCTACTAAGTTTAAAGCTGATTTATTCGTTGAAAAATTTATTTTAGTTGTAAGTTTCAAGTTAGTATTTAGCAAATTGTAGTTTTCTGGGTGTTTCTTATCATCCTTTTTGAATAAAAGAATTAGCTCACCTATCCTCCATTATTCGTTTGGTAACGATTCATTTGGTATCTTTACCTGCAGTTCTCCTGTCTATTATTTAGTTTTTCAAGCTGTTTTGTACTTCCTGTTTGTTTGCGTGAACTTCTTCGTTTATGATAATTTTTGATGTTTGTAGTTTCAACGTCATTTGTTAATCCGTATATAACTTTTTTAGATAGTAAATGCTTGCATCTTTTTCGGTCTGTTTCGGCTCTGTTAGTTCCTTCACCAATGCATGCTTCCATGCTATAATACAAAATTTCTTCTTATAATGTCTATTCGTTCCGAACGTTAGAGATTATCATGGCTATCTTTAATTTGTTTGCCGTTCCTTTTTTACTATTTACCTTTTGTTGAAGAGATAAAATGAAAGAACTCCGCAAATACTCTCAGATATTGTAACTTTAGAATTTTGATTGTCATCAGAATTTTACATTCCTTTTCCATTCTGCGCAGGACTTCCACCTTGGTAACTCGCTCAAATTAGCATCAATACTAAATATCCCAAAATATTTGTAGAAAATGGCTATAACAGCACATCTCAAAAGTTTTCTTATGTTTTATTATGATTTTATCAGTTTATTGGTGTTCTATTTTGATTTTGACTTTTGGATTATAATAATTGTTGTTGTCATGTATCTTTTTTGGTTTTTTTTTCATTTCTTTTTTAGATTTTTTGTATTTTTTTATTTTTAGGTCTTTTAGTTGATTAATATTATATTTCTTCATTTCTGGACTATGAATTATTTGTTTGTTTTGCCGATAAGTAGATTGTGGTCTATCTATCTGTGATTATATATCGGATCCAGTGTAGATACACTTTAGCAGGTGTTATTTAGTTTTTCAATCGTTGGTTGATAAGAATAATATAAAATGCTTAGTACATAATAGTGGAGCACTCGAAATCGTAGTCATCTTCAGTTCGATACGAGACAAAACTGATGTAATTGTAATAAAGAATGCTCTGGAATGGTCAATATTAAGAAAAAACAGAAGAAGAAGCTCATGTATAATATCCCAGTTTACATTTAGTTGACAAAATAGATACTTGTATAATTCAACTAATTTTATCTATTGACCATTCTTTTTCAATTTGACTCAGATATTTGTTTATTTTAATATGACTATCTACTTTGTAAATCGAAGTGTTAAAAAAACAAAGCCAGAAATTACCTATTTTCAGAAATTCTTTGTAGCACGCCTATCAGCGTATCTACAATATCACAGTATTGTCAGTATATCACACGACCACTGTTTCCCGGGGCCCACACCCCATAGGGTGGCGATTCGATTGTTAAGGGAGGCAATTTGAAAATAGACTCGACATGAGTTTAACCCTTTTGCTTCGAGCCATTTAAATGCAATGCTAGATTTCGGTGCCAAAGTTAAAGAAAAAAGCAAATTCTTAAATAATTGTGGTAATAATTATTTGGTATAATTTCGCTAGATGAGACCAAAATATCAACTGGGTTTTGGGTTCGTGACGAACCCCGAACGTTTTAAAATCTCGCTAAACAACACAGTTGTTCTCACCCGAATGATCCATCGCACGCAACTCTATATCTTTCACTGCATTCAGTTGGTGTTAATTTGCATAATTTTCCAGAAAATGTGGTCAAATAGAAAAAATATATTATTTCGCAGTGGCAGTGTAGTAAATGAGATTTAAATAAATATGCATTTTTTAGTATATGTTTACTATATGTCACATTAAATTAATTTCAACACATACTTTAATTTTAGTTTTTAATTGAACCACCAGTTAGAATAAGGGAATAAACGCCAGAATATGGCGAAACGACTTTTTAACAAAAATAATATATACCTTTTAAGGCAAAGACCCATCTGTCCGCGCTAAGTAGCGAATAAAACACTGCATAAGTTACGAAGATATCCCAACACGAAATGTGCGACAGTTTTAAAAAGGGAATAAATCACGGAATTATTCTTTCTTGAAACTTAGGGTTGAATCTGTCACGTGCTTTTTGACCGGCCTACGGCGAACCAACTAGTGGTGATGGAAATACAATTCAGTTGCTGTTGACACTACGTAAGTCTCTCAGTTCTTGTTTTGTTTGTTGATATTTTTAACAAAAAATATCTAGTACGAGTGATAGTAATAGCAGTGAGGATAGTAACATAATCGCATTTTATGCGATTTGGCGACGTCATAGAAGAGAAAACGGGGTGTACGAAGTAAACATTTATATAAACACGAGGTACAAAAAATTACATTATTTACACGGTGAAACCTATACTAGTTCAACTACAAGGCGTATTGTACCGGCAAAATCAAATACTGTTAGTGAGTGTAGATGTAAAAACGGTGCACAAAAAAGTATAGTTTAGAAGAAAAGCAAATGATTCTACAAAGTGTGTACAGTGGACGTCCAAAAAATGAACAGGATACTTTTCTTATGAGCCTCATAAACTGCTCGAAAGTTATTCGAAGACGATAAAAAAATAAAAATCTCAAAAGACGTGACAATACTTTTCGTAATTGTATCCAAATAATTCTACAATTCTTCAATCTTGTATGCTATAAAAAATAATGCAATTTTTCGACTGATCTTTCTTATTGCCGAAGGAAAATTACCAGTGGAACACAGTGGTATTCATTTAAACCGTGGCAACAATTTAGATAATGTAGTTCTTGCGATTGATCATCACATTCGATAATTTCTGTTAAAAGAATCACATTACAGCACCAGATTAATTCAATATTTGGATGATAACCTCAATGTGAAGATAATGCAACTCTTTTGCAAAAAGTATCCCGAACATGCCAACATCATTAAATATGAATTTTCTAGAAAATACTATAATGATAACCATGGCTACAGATTTGGAAGACCACAGGTTGACGTTTGTTCAACTTGTGAAGAACTTCAGGCTAAAATAACAAGTCAAACGCTGAATGAAAACGCCAAGCGTCTAACAGTTGCAGAAAAGAAGGTACATCTGAGACTAGCTAAAAGTTTTACATGAAGCAGAAAGTGTGAAAAGTGTGAAAAGTGTGAAACAGAAGTGTTGAGATTATGTCAAGAAAAAAAAAGGTCGAAGATATTGTTTTTGACTACATGAAAAACGTTCCACTTCCAAAAATAGCAGTGCAGGAAATGTTCTATCTCAGGAAACTATGGCTTTACGTGTTTTGTGTCCACGATTTGAAAACAAATTGTGCAGATTTTTACACGTACCATGAAGGAAAAGCTAAAAGAGGACCTGATGATATATGTAGCCTAATTTATAAGACCATCCAGAATATTGATCCTGCTATCAACGAACTTCACGTGTTTGGTGACGCTTACGGTGGACAGAATAGAAACAATACCCTGATACGGTTCATGCTCAAGTTGGTTTCGACTGGATAGTTCGATAAAGTTTATCAGTACTTTCCTGTGCGTTGACATTTGTTTTTATAGTGCGATCGAAATTTCGGAACAGCAAAAGATTTATCAGGAGAAAAGATAGGATTTACGTACCAGAGGAATACAATCTAATGATCTCTACTGCCAAAACAAGAGGATTTTTGGTAACAAAAATCACCTCAGACG